CCCCCCCCCCCCCCCCCCCCCCCCCCCCCCCCCCCCCGCCCACCGCCTCGTGCTGCCAGAGGATCCTGAACAGGTTTGGAACTTTGAGAAGATGGGTATAGATAGAGTAAATTCAACCAAGGTTTAGAATAGGATTCATGTTTGCGTTGGTTTCCACTTCCTTTCAGTTTTCCACTTGATGTTTTGAAAAAAAGAAGAAGAAAGGAAGGAAGGAGGAAGGAAGGAAAAGAAATGCAGAAAAAAGGCTGACACTGGGTGAGATAAGTGAAATAGCTGTATTTATATTCAGGCCTGAAGGACTGTGTAACTCTCACTAGATTTACCTCCTCAGTCTCATGTTGTCCACAAAAATGCTGTGCCATCTCCAAGCTGCCTTATGTAGGAGAACACTCCACCCAGTGTGGCTAATTCCTCTCTAAGTAAGAGTGAGGCTGGGAGAGAGGATGTGCCCTCGGGAGGAATCACTTCCAATGAGACCCGACAGTTAGTTATTGGATTACACGTGCAAGGAAATGTAGTCTGACCAGGGACAGGGGCTGGAAGTGGGAGGAGGAGAGCCTGAGGCCTGGGAGCTGGCTGGGCCACACAAGGGCTGATGCAGGAGGCCCAGAAGGGGAGGTGCTGTAGACCAGAGGACCAAATGGGAGGCTGGGCTGGACACACCTCTCTGTCTACTCTGAAGGGATTGAGGTGCACGTATGTGTGCTGGAGAGCCTGGCGAGGGGGGGGGTAGGATAAAAGAATCTGAGATCAGTCAGGGATCTAGAGAAAGGCCAGCTGCAAAGAACCTTGGAACAGAACCGAGGCAGGTTCTGGGGGGAATGGCACTAGTTATCTGTGCCCTGGAGATACCAAATAGAGTATCTGCTCTTGGCTAAGCATGCTGGTGGGGCTGTAGAAGCAGCGGAGAGGGAGGGGTGGGAAGGGGGAAGCTGGGGGCTGGGCTGGGGCTGGCCCCAGACAGTGACCTGAAGTTGAGTGGAAGCAGGCTTTTTCCATCAAACCCTGCCTGGATACCACACACAGAGACCGAGTGTCAGTTTACTGCCCTGAGCCGGGCTCCTTTTCCCTAAGCTCCACAGTAATTAGACAAAGAAAACCTAAATTAGCTGAACAGGCGTCGACAGCTTCCTCCAGAGCACCCCTGGTACCTACATGGGAATGTGTCCGAAAATGGCTTGATTGTAGCCGAGAGTCAGCTAAGAAAACACGGCTAAAATGAACTCAGTTTACCGCTCATTTCCAATAGAAAAAAGAAACAAGTCAGTCTTTTCCGGATGGGATGTTTTGATTGAGTTGGGGGTGGGTGGGTGTTGCAGTTGCTTCTACTTCTAAGAATTTCTTTCTGAGCGACATGGGAGCATATTTTGGAGATGGGTCCCCATTTATTTCAGGTTTTTCCCCTCTTACCCCTTTTTGTCATTTTACATGGGACAATTTAAATGTAACTAAATATGGAAGTATATATAGTAGGTTCATAAGTCAGTGCTTTGAGTGTCTGAAAAATAATTAAATGCAATAGAAGCTGGTGTCAGGAGGACAGATAATAACTCAAAGGAGCCCCACTGACATAGCCTTCTGTGTGTGTGTGTGTGTGTGTGTGTGTGTGTGTGTGTGTTTAGTGGGAATAGAATTGGCCCAGGTGGAAGAATAAGGAAAAGGAAGGCAATCATCTCATTTGAAGGAGGGGATGATAGACAATGGATTTTGGGAAAATTCAGCAAGCAAGTAAATGTCACTGTCACTGAACCCTCTCTGATTGTCCACACTAGGAATTCGATGTATATTGATTTCAGGCCCTACAAGGTTTTAAGACCCAGTGACTGAAGAATAAAAAGCACCAACCCTCAAATTTCAGCGGGTTAAAATATCAGGGAGTTTTAGAGGCTCCATTCCCTATCCAGTCCAAGTGACCACGGTATTCATTTACCTAAACTCTTCAGACTTACAAGAAATACCACCTAGAGTTTGCTGAGTGTTCCAGGAGGCTAGACAGTCCTGAAAAGGCCATAGGCATTGGAATTACAGCCCCAGCCAGGAGCAGCTTCTGTTGACTCAAAGCTTGTTTCTCTCTCCAGGGGTCTAAATACTACCCTGCACTCCACAAAAATATGGAGGTTAATGACCTTAGTTATCCGAGCAGGAAGAGGCTCTTCTCTAAAATTCTTTCTTGCAGACCCCATCTTTGCCATGGAAATTCCCCTAGACCTAAAGATCGTTCTAGAAATACAAAACGTCTACTTTTGCTCCTGATAGATTTCACAAGTGCAAGGCTTTCCGCTCTTATCATGTCACAACCACGTGGTCCAAATACAGTTATCTCCCCTTTAGCCATAAGGAAACAGGGGCTCAGAGAGATCAGATGACCTGCTGCAAGTCACACCTGGGGAAGTGACAAAGCTGGCCTGTACTGGGGGGCCTAGGATCCCAGTCTAGGGCTGTTTCCAGTACCTTGCAGCAAAACCTCTCAACTTTGTTTTAATTACTCATTTATACAGGTCTCCTGGGTAAGAATGCATGTCAAATTCTTTATCCCTGGCAATAATATCTGAATTTCTGTTTAGAAGACAGTTTAAAAGGAAAGTTGTCTCTGATACATAGCCTTGCTTAAGATAATTCCCTCTCTTGGAAGCCCTTTCTTAAGGTGGTGAGCTGTTCCTGACTGACTTTCATTGCCTTATAAACAACACAAATCTTGATTTATTTTTTCTTACTGGAAGGAAAGGTATGGTTCGTTAAAATAAATATAGATGAGGCCAGGCTGCTCCTCGCTTAACCAGAAATACACAGCGTCGGGTGCAACCGCCCTCTGTCCATCCCTGGTGCTTTGTCCCCCTTTGGTTGACTGTCTCCGTCTGGGCTGCGGGTTCCTTTCCCGCTCCAAACCTCAAGGCCCCGCCCCTGCTCCAGCGCAGGGGAATGTAAACTTCGGGAAGCTTCGGTTTCTCCGATTTGTTTTGTAATCGGCGTTTTATTCTAGGAAATCTCTTCATTATTGCGGTTTAAATCTTATGTTCTTAGCATACTTCCTCTGCTTCGTGGGTTTTACATGAAATGGCTTAGACTAAACCAGTTACCCACCGGAGAGACGCATCCGCACCGACACTGTTTACCTCCATCCGAGACCTCTCCTCCTCGAGGCACTTCTCGCTCTGGTTACCCCTCCCTTCTTCCGCCAGCCTGGCTGGAGCAAAGTCTCTTCCCAAATCAGTCTGGAACTGACCACTATATTCACCCCGTGTTTTGGTACAAAATTAACTTATGTAGAAGATTCTCCAGCTCCCTGGAGGCCTTTCTAGTTGCTGACGATGAGCTCCGGTGCTGAGGCCAAGGGAGTGTCGGCTTGTTTGAGGAAACCAAGGAAGACCTCGAGCCTACGCGCCACAGAGGCCCCTCTAGAAACTTTAATTTATATTGAAAATCCGCCGCTGAGGAGAGGGGGACTTGGCGAGGAGGGGTAACGGTGGGGATTTTACACCCTTCTCGGCATCTGCTCTTCTTCTTAGGTCCAGAAACCCCCAGACCTCAGGGTTTGAACACCAGCCACCCAATTGCAAGTGTTTATTTGGATAGATTTTTCCCCCCGCTCTCCAAACGCCTGTCCCGGGCAGGGCTCTTTTTATAGCCACCTTCTTGAGATATCCGCGGATAGCCCCCTTCTCCTGGGCCTGGCGGTAGGCATGATTGGA